TAAATGTCTTTATGCCCTTGAATTAGACAAAGAACTTGACATCAATGGAAATGTAAGATGCAGTCTTCACTAGAAACAGTGAAACAGTCCTCTGAAAGTTTGAGAGATTTGAAATACAGGAAAATAATCAATAGATAGAGAAGACAAAGTTGCATCAGAGCATTCAGCCTAAAAAGTATTCAATAACTTCAACTTTAGTGTAGTTTGGTGGGAAATCAAGTTTGCTAGGGAGCTCTGGAGTGTCTCTGAAGACTTTGAAAGATTATCCTTCTCGTGCTAATTCAAGTATTTATACTACATAAACTCAGTTTGGAAAGACAGTGTGCATGTCTCGGTGAAATCCACTGTTCGAGTGTGCTGCTGACTAGGAATGAAGAGTTGATCCATGCACAAGCACTCTGGGGTTTTATGCTGGTTGAAATATACAAGGGAACTTTTGATAATCTTTTAGAAAATTTTCAGAATGAAGTGTGTGTGTGGCGGGGTTGGGGGGATGACAGAGAGGCAGATTTTTCATTATGTTTTCCCTTCACCGCTCTTCTGACATTGCAGATCTGTACAGAATCACGTTCATTCCATTTTTCTGTACTGAATGAAGAATAGCATGAGGATGGGATGGGGATAGTAGAGGTTAGGATGTAAGAATATCAAATATGCAATACAAGGTGCCAAGTTCCTTCTGTTCATTACTGATAGAAACTTGTCTTCATGCAGATGTATTGAAAGGAAATGTAAAAGCTTAGAATTACTGCAGTTAACAAAATATACATTATTAGTATTGTTTTTAATGAATTACCATCTCAGGTGAAAAGTGTTAACTGGCATAAATTTTAGAGATAGTGTATAATGCCAGCACCAGAATCTCTCAGGAGCAGGGTATCAATCTTCAAATACCAGTATTTCAACACAACTTTATACAACTGTCTGTCCTGTAATTGATATTGTATATTGCTTATCCCTCACAATTTATTTTCCTATGACATGTATAAAGTAGATTTCATTTCCTTTTTATGCATACTCAGTTTATTCTTTTCAAATATTTTTAAAATCCATTAAAAAAAACTTGAATTGATTTTGTACCCTTCACTGGAAGTCTGAATAGATCACTTCCTTTGTTTTCAAGATAATATTAACTCGAGACACTGATTGGTTTCTAGTCTGTAAGTCAGTGTAGAAATGCATAATTCTTACTGAATTTTACCTCTTTACTAAACTGTAGCAACTATTTTATAGTTGCATCATTGGTGATCCGGTGGCTCATAATAGGTAAGAGCCTTGTTAACAGTTGAAAATAAATGGCTTCACTTTAAATGATCTCTGGACAGTTAATAGAGGCCTATAAGATAAAAATTGATGGGTCCTTTTCCCTTTCCTCCCCTTCAATATGATCAAGTTTACTAGAAATTTCTTTGTAAAATTCCACCAATACAGTCAAACAGAAAGATACAGAAAGCACTGATCTATCTGAAACTCTCCTGTAGTTTTCAACTTGAGCCACCTTTTTCTCTTTTGCTTGAAAAAGTTACTGTTCAGGAAATAAGATGGTCTAAAGCTAGCAGCCTCAAAAAAAAATCACAGACTGTAGCACTGGAAACCATGTTCAGATCATATCAACTGAGATTTCTTTAGACAATATTCAATTAACTGCGCTCAGTTACGTATCAAACCTTTTTTTTTTAACATGTCTTAATTAGATCATACTGTTTTGATGGATAAAAGAGGCCCTATGAGGTTCAAAATTCCCTCATGTTGAAAGATGTCATAAGAAGAAACTGGTCAACAACAAGAACACACTTGGAGGCCTTTCTGTGCAACAACAGTGAGAAAAGACTCCAGTCTCCAACCCTTTAGTATTCATAGCTGGAATCCCCTCCTTTTTTTTCTCAGAAGTAAGACAAATAGTATCCATCCTGTCTCTACTGCAAGATATACATAAAGACACTTATTCTAGCCTTAGTATTGCTGTAGGAAGTCAAATATACTGCACAGCCACCAACAATGGTGTAGACAGGCATAATGTAAGAAACATGAAAGGTAGATCTCACTTTCCATGGATTATCCAACTGCTAGTTTCTTTCATTTTGTCTTATTGGTCTTCAGTAGGAACTAACTTTTTTATTGCATGTAATAAATTATTATTCTGCATCCTGACATGTATCTTCTGCATCCTGGTCTTGTAAGGTCACAAGTGCTTTTCCTTCAACTTATTTGCTTAAAATAATGAACTTAAGGAATATTGAGTCCCATGAAAAAAATCCTAGTCCTGTTTTCCCACTTTGTAATACACTGAGAGGAAGCAGCAATTATAACTCTCCAGCCACAACTCAGAGGATTTCCTCTAAGAGTTCTAATTCCAGAGGAAGAAACATATTTTTTCCCGTTAAATTGGATGACAAAACTAAGGAATTAGTTAAAATACCCAGCTTGCTTTCTCCGTCTTTTGTTTGGTTTGGGTTTGGCCTGTTTTGGGTTTGGGTTGGGGGGGGGGGGGGGGGGGGGGGGGGG